AGGAGAGAGAGAGAGAGGACCGCCGTCAAGCACCACCGCCTTCGCCTCCCTCTCCCGCGTCCGTCTTCTGCAAGGTAGCGAGAGAGAGAGCGAGAGAGCGAAAGAGAGAGAGCGAGAGAGAGAGAGCGAGAGAGAGAAAGAGCGAGAGACAAAGAGAGAGGGACAAAGAGAGAGCCACGCTCCGACTGCAAGCCCGCGCTGTGCCACTGCTGCGGCTCCTGACTCTCGCCTGCGCACACCACACCCCAGCCGCCAGCCGCTTCGCACGAGCCCACATGGCGACAACCACGACTGCGCCTGCTGGCGGGAAGAAGAAGACGGCGTCCGCCGCCGGGGGCGCCGCGGCGGTCGACCTCAAGTCGCTGCAGCCGCCGGAGTTTTGGAAGCCGCGGGACGCCCTGTTTGAAGAGTTGTTCGCGGCGCAGGAAGCGAGGCGGAAGTGCATGCAGGCGCCCATCACCGTCACGCTGTCCGACGGGAAGCGGATCCCCGCCACGAGCTGGCTGACGACGCCGCTGGAGATCGCCAAGCAGCTGTCCAACTCGCTGCCCGAGAAGGTGATCGTGGCACGCGTGAACGACGAGCTGTGGGACCTCACCCGCCCCTTCGAGGGCGACGCCACACTCGAGCTCCTCGACTGGGACGACGCCGAGGCGCAGCAAGTCTTCTGGCACAGCTCCTCCCACGTGCTCGGCTACGCCCTCGAGCGCGTCTTCCACACCCGCCTCTCCGTCGGCCCCGCCCTGGAGGAGGGCGGCTACTTCTACGAGGGCGACACGGGCCGGCCGCTCTCGGAGGCGGACTACGCGTCGATCGAGTCCGCCATGCAGGAGCTCGTCAAGCAGAAGTTGCCGTACCAGCGCCTCACCGTCACAAAGGCCGACGCGCTGCGCCTCTTCGGCTACACGGAGTTTAAGAGCAAAATCCTCGCCAGCAAGGTGCCCGAGAACGGCTTCTGCACCGTCTACCGCTGCGGTCATCTGATTGATCCCTGCCGCGGCCCGCATCTGCCGGACACCGGCCGCGTGAAGGCCTTCGCCGTGACAAAGAACTCCTCCTCCTACTTTGAGGGGAAGGCAGAGAACGCGGTGCTGCAGCGGGTCTACGGCATCTCCTTCCCGAAACAGGCGATGCTGACGGAGTGGAAGACGCTGCAGGAGGAGGCCACACGACGCGATCATCGCAACATTGGCCGGCAGCAGCAGCTGTTCGGCTTCCACGAGGTGTCGCCCGGCAGCGCCTTTTGGCTCCCGCACGGCGCCCGCATCTACAACACGCTGGTGGAGTTCCAGCGCAAGCAGTACCGCCATCGCGGCTTTGAGGAGGTCGTGTCGCCCAACATGTTCTCCTCCAAGCTCTGGATGGTCTCGGGCCACTGGGACAAGTACGCGGATAGCATGTTCCGCGTCGTAGTGGAGAAGGAGGATCACGGGTTGAAGCCGATGAACTGCCCCGGCCACTGCATCATGTTCGCCATGCAGCAGCACTCGTACAAGGAGCTGCCCATCCGCTACGCCGACTTTGGCGTCCTGCACCGCAACGAGCTGAGCGGCGCCCTCACCGGCCTCACGCGGGTGCGCCGCTTCCAGCAGGACGACGCCCACATCTTCTGTCGCATGGATCAGCTGCAGGAGGAGATCCAGAGCGCCCTCATCTTCCTCAGCGACGTCTACCGCACACTCGGGTTCAAGTTCTTCCTCAAGCACGCCACCCGCCCGGAGAACAAGCTTGGCTCGGAGGAGGTCTGGGACCAGGCCGAGTCGTACCTGCGGGCGGCGCTCAACAGCTTCTGCGGCATTCCCGAGCAGCTGCCGGACCCCTTCAAGGAGGGCGCCAGCTTCACCTTCGACGGGCGCAAGCAGAGCGTCAAGAAGCTCCGCGCCCTGATGAAGAAGCGGGCGCAGGGCAACGGCGACGACGCCGACGCCGACGCCGACGGCTGGAAGGGGCCGACGCACGCCGACGCGTGGGAGGAGAACACCGGCGACGGCGCCTTCTACGGACCGAAGATAGACATCGTCGTGGAGGACGCGCTGCGGCGCCGCCACCAGTGCGCCACGGTGCAGCTGGACTTCAACCTGCCGCAGCGCTTCGGGCTAAAGTACACGCTGCCGACCGCGGCGGGCGAGGGCGGGGCGGCGGCGGGCGATGGCGAGGGCGAGGGCGGGGCGGCGGCGGCGAAGGAGCACCACGTGGACCCCCAGCCGACGGCGGCGGAGCCCGAGGCGGTGCCGGCGGCAGCGGCCGCGGAGGAGCCGCTCTCCACCTACGAGGAGGCCGCCCGGGAGCTCTGCCTCGACCGCCGCCTGGACGCAAACCAGGCGCGCCCCGTGATGATCCACCGCGCCATCTTCGGCTCGCTCGAGCGCTGCATCGCGATCCTCTGCGAGCACTACGGCGGCGACTGGCCGCTGTGGCTCAGCCCGCGGCAGGTGATTGTGGTGCCGGTCTCGCTCGAGAACGCCGCCTACGCGGCGAAGGTGCGGGACGCCTTCCACGCCGACGGCTTCTACGCCGACGTCGACAACGGCACCGCGACGCTGGACAAGAAGATCCGCAACGCGGAGCGCGCGCGGTACAACTTCATCCTCGTCGTCGGCCAGGCGGAGACGGAGGCGCAGACGGTGAACATCCGCACCCGCGACAACCGCCGCCACGGCACGAAGACGCTCGCGGAGGCCCAGCGGTGGCTGCGCGAGCTCGTCGACGCCTACGACCTGAGCTACTGAGCCGGCGCCGCGCGGCGAAGGCGGAGGGACAAACCCACAACGACCTGCAACGAAACATACAAAGAAAAAGAGGAACAGAACAAAACAAAAAGAAGCAAACAAGCCAACCAAAAGCGAGGCAGTGTTAACCAAACAAAAAAAAACACGAACTGCTATGACAAAGGAACAAAAAAAGAAAAAGAAAAAAA